AAGATATTTAAAGAAAGTTATAGATGCCTAATAGACTTGGCCCTCTCAGCTAGTCCCCTGTTTGTCCCCTCCTCCCAGGGGACCTTTGTAATACTTACACATGTGCATGGATAAATTGCAGTTATGACGTGTCATTAATATCTTGCTGTTTTTTGCTTAACATGGTGTTACAGGATTTTTTTCCATTTTGCTCCATGATCTTATTATTTTTAATAATTGCATAATAGTTCATTGAGCGGATGTGCCCTGCTTTTCTAAACCGTTCCCATGTTATTAGACATTAGATTGTTTCTATGGTTTCTACTATTAGAAGTAACCTTGCGACGGTTGGCTTCCTTTGCGGAACCTTTCCCTTCTTTTGAATTATTTCCTTATAATACATTTCCAGAAGTGAAATTACAGGGCGAAGTAGGGTCTAAACTTCTGGATGGCTCTTGACACTACAGCTAACTGCCTTCTGTAAGGTGCATGTACCGGAATGTAGCCCTGCCAGCCATGAGTGAGGGAACTGGTGTTACCATGTAACATCAGCTTTTCTTCGCAGTATTTCATGTTTAAATATTATTATATCTACACATAAAATAAGGCTACCAAGCATTGGGCACAAGTAGTTGCCCCATTTTTCTTCTGACAGGCTCAGCTATTGCTTTTAATTGCAAATGAGCAGATTCATTTTTAGGAGTGCATCACTCGTGGAATTTGAGGTTTAGCTTAACATTTTGTCTGAAAAAAAGACAGGTTATTTTGGCCAGTTGCTTTTGGGATTGTTACTCAGGTGTAAGAATAACATTCAGGGTGTTCACGTTTCTTTAATGTGGCTTGTTGAAAAAGAGTCAATGAGTGACCAGGTGTGGTAGCTCATGCCTGTAATCCTAGCACTTTGGGGGACCAAGGCAGGTGGATCCCTTGAGCTCAGGAGTTTGAGAATAGCCCGGGTAACATGGTGAAACCCCATCTCTACAAAAAATACAAAAATTAGCTGGGCATGGTGGTACATGTCTGTGGTCCCAGTTATTCGAGAGGCTGAGATGGGAGGATCTCTTCAGCCCAGGAGGCGGAGGTTGCAGTGAGCTGAGATCGCACCCAGCGCACTCCAGCCTGGGCAACAGAGCGAGGCTCTATCTCAAAAAAAAAAAAAAAAAAAGTAAAAAAGGGAGTCATGAGACTTTTGAATGGCTACAGAACACTTTGATTTATTTTTGTGAAGAACTGTCAGTGACAGTTTGAATAGGGTCATTCTGGAGGTGGTTCTCTTTGAGCTCCGACTATGTTCCCACTGCTTCTGCCCCTGCCTGGTGATGGGGTAACATGCCTGGGCTGAAGGATAGAATGAGGAGAATAAATTACATCTAAGCCTCTTAACCTTAACAATAATAATTAGATAACAAGAGTAGCTTATACTGACATAATCTTTACTGTTCTCAGACACTGTTACAAGGGCTTTACATATATTAATCAATTTAATTTTTTTTTTTTTTTTTGAAATGGAGTTTCACTCTTGTTGCCCAGGGTAGAGTGCAATGGCGCAATCTCGGCTCACTGCAGCCTGCCTCAGCCTTCCGAGTAGCTGGGATTACAAGCATGCTCTACCTTGCCCTGCTAATTTTGTGTATTAGTAGAGATGAGGTTTCACCACGTTGGTCAGGCTGGTCTCAAACTCCTGACCCAAGGTGATCCACCTGCCTCAGCCTCCCAAAGTGCTGGGATTACAGGTGTGGGCCACCGCGCCTGGCCTCGCCAATTTAATTCTTGCAATAACCTTATGACATAGGTGTCTCTTTTTATCCCACTTTATAGGTGTGGAAACTGAGGCACACAGAGTTGTATGTCAGGCTTCTGTTTACCTCTCCCACATGGTCTCTTCACTCTTTTGCTTCATCCTTCTGTTTTTCAGCTGGCTTTTCTTCTGAGCAGGCCAGGTGACCGCCTCTCTTCATCCGTCCTGCCTCCCATTTTGAACATCCTTCTCTCGCCGATAACAATAGCTTCCCTTTATGGAATGTTTAACATGGCAAGGCACCTTGCCTTCGCTTTTACGAACATGGGCTCATTTAATTGTCACAGCCATCCCTGAGGTGGGAAATGTGAGGACCTGGGCACAGAGGAGGCTCGGGGGGACGGCATTCAGCAGGGGACTGAATCAGGACAGGACTTGAGAGTCCAAGCTGCTTCCCCTCCTCCCCAGGCTCCTGTGCAGGCTGCCTTTGGTTCCTTGCCCAGGAGTCCTTGCCCTCTGCTATTCCTTTTCTGACTCCTGGGCTACCTTCCTGTCTCAGCCATTCATTTGTCATTCATGATAAGCAGCCAACTGTCGACTTTCTAATGTGTACGGATCCTGGCTCCCCACATAGCCTGGGAGCTCCTGGGGCGGTGACTATCTTTCAGGCTCCTGGTCTAGTGTCTGGCTGTCAGTTGGTGCTTTGCCAATATTTCTTTTTTTCTTTTCTTTTTTTTTAAATTTTTACTTTTTAGAGACAGGATCTTGCTCTGTCCCTCAGGCTGGAGTGCAGTGATGCAATCATAGCTCACTGCAGCCTCCATCACCTGGACTCAAGCAATTCTTCCACCTCAGCTCCCCAAATAGCTGGGACTACATGCCCAGCTAACTTTTGTATTTCTTGTAGAGATGGGGTCTCCCTATGTTGCCCAAGCTGGTCTCAAACTCCTGGGCTTAAGTGATCCTCCCTCCTCGGCTTCCCAAAGTGTTGGGATTAAAGGCACGAGCCACCGTGCCCAGCCTGGTTATGTTTCTTGTTGCGGGCTGTGGTGGTGGTGACAGACCCCTCTGCTGTCCTGGCATTTCCCTGCCATTTGAGATGGGCTATTTCCTGGGCCAGTTCAGGAACCTTATCCATTTCAGAAAATAACACTTGTTGTGGTGAAGTCAGATTTAGTCAGATGCATGCCAATGTGCCAGTTTTGGAATAAGAAAATCAATGCAAAGTTGGACGTGACATATATCATTATAAGGAAGCTCACTCTAATAGTTCCTTTCTAAATAACTAATTCTTTTGTAATGGAATATCATCCTTTTGCTTATTTATTTGAGGGTTAAATCTGGATCCACACTGGATTTGCTTCTCGTAGAGTCTGGAATTAAGGGCTAAAGTTAATCACTGTGTTTATAAGTATAACCACGTTCATGGCATTCAGTTCGTTGGACAGGATTATTTTAGCTCTTTCAGAATTGCCACAAGAATCCATCTGAAGCTTTAGACATCTCACTGATTTTGTGAAATTTGCTTTTTAATGCACCTAAAACCCTCAGTTTAAGTCTTTACACTGGCGTTATGTAAACAGAAGTTTGGGTGTGGGGCCAGTGTTGTTGCTGGATTTTCATAAAACCTCCTTTCTGCTGGGAAAGGGAAGGAGTGGTTACCTGTGGAGGGGTTGGGTTTGGTCTGTCTGGTTGGGAGGAAGGAAGTTTGGGTGTTTAGACTCAGAGGGCTTGCTCCCTGAAGTCCTGCCTCCTCCCAGTCTCATGCGCTTATGGTGAGGGTTGAGAGCAAACCAGATCTTGTTGGAAAAACGAGTAGAGTTGAACCTCATTCACTTGCAGGCCGCAGAGGCTCAGCATACTTCCTTTCTGTTCTGCCTGTGTCTACTGCCAGAGAAATGGCTGTTTTAAGGATTTAATGGGATTATGTATGTAAAAAAGAAATTCTTTGAAAAGTACACAATGTCCTACCTCTGTCAAATAACAAGTATCTGGTAATTTATAGAATGGAACCCTGAAAGCTTGGAAGGAATAAGAGCTCCTGAACTTTTAGAAGGAAAAAGGTGATTTAAAAAAGTACATGATTATGGTGAGATTTTTCAAAAAGCTTCTCAAAAGCAAGTTTATTCAAACTGTTGTCTAAACAGATTTTAGTTATTTTGGTTTGATTCTACTAAATTATATGATGTTTCCTATTTGGCCTTTCTCATGTGAATGGGAGGAATGGATGGAAGAGGGGAAAGGTGAACTTGTGCTTCAAGAAATCATTGTGGCCGGGCACAGTGGCTCATGCCTGTAATCCCAGTACCCTGGGAGGCTGAGGCAGGCAGATCACCTGAAGTCAGGAGTTTGAGACCAGCCTGGCCAACATGGTGAAACCCTGTCTCTACTGAAAATGCAAAAACTAGCCAGGTGTGGTGGTGCGTGCCTGTAATCCCAGCTACTTGGGAGGCTGAGGCAGGAGAATCACTTGAACCCAGGAGATGGAGGTTGCACTGAGCTGAGATCGTGCCACTGCACTCCAGCCTGGGAGACAGTGAGACTCTGTGTTTCAAAAAAAAAAGAAATCATTGCCATGATCATGCATGGCAGATAGAGGATGTTAGCATTTTCTTTATAATGTGGTCTGCTTCAGAGATGGACTGTTCTTGTAAAGAATTAAGGTAAATGAGGTAGATTTTAAAACCTGTATATGCACGGGCTTATTTTCCATGAAGTCAGTGCTAAAAAATTTCACTTATCAGGGAATGTTGAACTGTGTAGCTTTTCTAAAAAGTCTAAAAGACTTTGCCATCACTGGATAAGCCTTGTTAGAGCTGTGTGTGTGTGTGTGTGTATATGTATGTGTGCACGTGTGCACGTTTCTCTTTGGAAACGATTAGGTTGTGCGTGCATCATTAATGCCTGTTTACCCACACAGTGAGGTTTGTTTCACCGTCAGAGATCTTAGAACTTGGCACTTTTGACAAATAGGATTCCTTCAGTTCCCCTTCCTTTTGTCCAACTCTGCATCTTGCCAGTGGCTCCTGCCCTGAGTTCTAAAGTTTCCAAGGCTTGAGTGGCCAGGGTCAGGTCGGTGGCACCGCGTGCAATGCAGGGAAAAGCCCCCACTTGCTGGGGGCAGGGGATAGTAATGCCGACCTCACTTCCTGCCCTGGGTCCGCCCAGGAGCAGCTCTGGCCCTGGCTGCACTGACCCGTTCATTAGTTCTTATGTGTTTAACCAGCAGGATGGTAACCGCCTCTCCCCTTCTCGTCTCCTCTCTGTCCCCCTCTTCTGCCAGGCGGGTGCCCCGGTGATGACTGGCGCGGGAGAGAGCACCAATCCCGAGAACAGCGAGCTCAAGTATTCGGGTCAAGATGGGCTCTACATAGGCGTCAGTCTGGCCTCACCGGCCGAAGTCACGTCCTCGGTGCGACAGGATTCCTGGTGCGCCCTGGCCCTGGCCTGAGCCCATGCCGCCAAGAGGCAGAGAGGGCTCCGCCGCGGGCCTCACTCCACTCGTGTCTGCTTTTGTGCAGCAGTCCAGACAGTGGCGACTGCGCTGACAGAACGTGATTCTCGTGCCTTTATTTTGAAAGAGATGTTTTCCCCAAGAGGCTTGCTGAAGAGTGAGAGAAGATGGAAGGGAAGGGCCGGTGCAACTGGGCGCGTTGCCTCCCTCTCTGGCCAGGGCCACTCCAGCCAGCCCGCCTCCGGGGCGGACCCTGCTCCGCTTCCAGAAACCAGGACTAGGACCTGGGCCTTGCCTGCTAAGGAATATTGAGAGAGATTTTTTAAAAAAGATTTTGCATTTTGTCCAAAATCATGTGCTTCTTCTGATCAATTTTGGTTGTTCCAGAATTTCTTCATACCTTTTCCACATCCAGATTTCACGTGCGTTCGTGGAGAAGATCACTTGAGGCCATTTGGTACACATCTCTGGAGGCTGAGTCGGTTCATGAGGTCTCTTGTCAAAAATATTACTCAGTTTGCAAGACTGCATTGTAACTTTAACATACACTGTGACTGACGTTTCTCAAAGTTCATATTGTGTGGCTGATCTGAAGTCAGTCAGAATTTGTAAACAGGGTAGCAAACAAGATATTTTTCTTCCATGTATACAATAATTTTTTTAAAAAGTGCAATTTGCGTTGCAGCAATCAGTGTTAAATCATTTGCATAAGATTTAACAGCTTTTTTTATAATGAATGTAAACATTTTAACTTAATGGTACTTAAAATAATTTAAAAGAAAAATGTTAACTTAGACATTCTTATGCTTCTTTTACAACTACATCCCATTTCTATATTTCCAATTGTTAAAGAAAAATATTTCAAGAACAAATCTTCTCTCAGGAAAATTGCCTTTCTCTATTTGTTAAGGATTTTTATACAAGAACACCAATATACCCCCTTTATTTTACTGTGGAATATGTGCTGGAAAAATTGCAACAACACTTTACTACCTAACGGATAGAATTTGTAAATACTCTAGGTATCTGTAAACACTCTGATGAAATCTGTATAGTGTGACTAACCCACAGGCAGGTTGGTTTACATTAATTTTTTTTGAATGGGATGTCCTATGGAAACCTATTTCACCAGAGTTTTAAAAATAAAAAGGGTATTGTTTTGTCTTCTGTACAGTGAGTTCCTTCCCTTTTCAAAGCTTTCTTTTTATGCTGTATGTGGCTATAGATACTCATATAAAACAAGTGCATGTGAAGTTTGCAAAATGCTTTAAGGCCTTCCTTTCAAAGCATAGTCCTTTGGAGCTGTTTTATACCTTTTATACCTTGGCTTATTTGAAGTTGACACATGGGGTTAGTTACCACTCTCCATGTGCATTGGGGACAGTTTTTATAAGTGGGAAGGACCCAGTATTAGATTTGAGATGATAAGCATTTTGTTTGGGATCAATGGTTAAAAACATTCTAGAAAGTTCAGATTTTTTTTTTTTTCTTTGTGAATGAAATATATTCTGGCCCAAGAACAGAGCGATTTCCTTTCACTTTTTTCCTTTTGCAACGTGCCTTGAAGTCTCAAAGCTTACCTGAGGTTGCAGACGTTACCCTTATCAGAAGATACATAGAAATGATTCCAACAGCCTCTTTGTATTTTCTTCATTGTTGAGTAGATTTCAGGAAATCAGGAGGCTGTTTCACAATACAGAATGGTGGCATATAAGTGTGGCTCCCTGAGTCTACAGTATTGTTTACTTCTTGCACTTATTACAGTCATTCTGTGGGGTTCAGTCTGAATCTTTCAAGAGAAGGAATGTCTTCCTTAGTCCTGGTGAATGCTACTCTTTGGAGGGACAGTGTCCATAGCCAGTGTGTGTGTGTTTTTCTGGGGAATTCAGTAAGGCCCACATGCACCCTGATATCATAAGGTGGGCCAGAACTATGGTTAAGAGTGTTGGGTATGCAAGCGGATCACTAGGCTTCAAGTCCCTGCTTGGCAGTGGATGAGCTCTGTGACCTTGGGCAAGTTATCTAGCTCTCATCTTTCTAATCTAAAATACAGGCAAATAGTATATAAATCACAGGATTAAGTGAGATAGTCCATGCCAAGTGCCTAGCACAATACCTGGCACATATTAAGTATTAACTTGACTTTGAAAGACAGTGGCATGATTTGCAACAGGTCCTTTGAATAATGTCTGACTACCTGGAATATCAGCAGTTTATGGTCTGTAAGAATCCGATGTCCTATGGGTCACCTGTGCTGCTTCAACAAGGCCAAGAAGAGTGAAATGAGAGACTCCCTCTAATCCAGGGGGTTGCAGAAATGGAGGGAGGATGCATGAGACCTGATTGTTTAATAATAGAACAAGGCTGTTCTGACAACAGAAGAAAATTATTAGCCCTATGAACTGATGTCTGTTTTCCTCCCTCCTTTTATGGTTCTCATTACTTGGAGTGCTTTTTGGTGGGTTGGGAGTTGTTAAAATTAATACGGTTTGATTGGAAAATGAATTTTTCTTATTGGGGCTTCCAAATGACCCTTCTTCTGGGATGATCTCAAATATTGCTCCTTCCAATTCTAAAAATAATTCTAGTTTTTATGAAATAAATTACAGTGGGCAGAGGAAGAGGGGGCTTCTTATAGCCTGTCCTAACACAATGAACTCCACTATCTGGGCTTTTAAATGATTACTTTCTTACCTATGATTGCATAAAGCAGAAGTTTGTTAAATTTGCTCCAGATACACAATTTCAGCACTCCTCCCCCAAAGTATGACATGTGAAACTGAACACGACCTAATCATTTCTCAAAAGGGAATGCATTCAGATAGATGCTGCACCTCAGCTTAAAGAACCCCCAGGCCCTATACCGTGGACTGTAGAATTTATGTCCTCTGTCACACATGGCTGATTTGAGGCCCATCTTAAATAAGTGAAGACTCTGTCTGGGGTCTCTCTTCAGGGTCACTTAATGTTGTTTCCTGGTGCTTATGGGAGGGTCAGGAAAGCAAAGGGAACCACTCATTTCCCAGTGCAAATAAATTAACTTCTTGCTCATGGGAAATGTTTTTCACAGTCCTTGGAAATTTGATGTAATTTCAGATCATAGATAAATTGGCTGCTTTGCTGGGAGGGCAACCCAGAGAGTCTTCAGTGCTATGCCAGATTCCAGGGTGTAGATAAATTGGCTGCTTTGCTGGGAGGGCAACCCAGAGAGTCTTCAGTGCTATGCCAGATTCCAGGGTGCGTTCAGGTTGCAGCAGTGTAGTGGGGAGCAAGGTGGCAGGCAGGAGCAAATATTTTCAGAATCAGGCAGCGCTGGCTTATTAAGAAGATGCTTTTCTTTCTTTCTTTTCTTTTCTTTTCTTTTCTTTCTTTCTTTCTTTCTTTCTTTCTTTCTTTTTCTTTCTTTCTTTTCTTCTTTCTTTTCTTTTCTTTCTTTTTTTTTTTTTTTTTTTTTTGAAACAGAGTCTGGCTGTGTCACCCAGGCTGGAGAGCAGTGGCACAATCATAGCTCACTTGCAGCCTCAACTTTCTAGGCTCAAGTGATCCTTCCACCTCAGTCTCCCAAATTGCTAGTATTACAGGTGTGAGCCACTGCACCTGGCTAAAATGCATTTTGTTTCTGGGTTGAAATACTAGCAAGTCAGTGTGGCAATACTAGTTATCTTCTGTTGCTTGGGAGCTCTAATTGGCAGTCAGATATGCTTTGATTATTTTAAATGGGAAACATTTTAATAGACTTGCTAGACCAAATCTTTCAAAACAGGGTCTGTGGGAAAAAATGTGGTACCTACAGCTCTGACCACGTGAGGCCCCTGGATGGATTCTGTGTGGCTGAGCCTTCAGCAGCTGCATTCTGAGAAGGCCACTTTGCTCATGACCTTCTGGTAGGGTTGGGATCAGGCAGGAGAAGGTGACAGACATCAGTAGGACAGGCAGAAGAAGAGTCAAAGGGTATTTTCAGTTGGTTCAACTTAAAGGATGCCAGAAAGTCTTAGTTTATAGGAACTTTGGATACATATATTGTGGTTGATAGTTCCAAATCGCTTCTAAGGAAAGTTAGGATGTTGCAGGTGCGTGTCTGCACCTCTGAGACTCACGTCAGAACAAGCACCCGTGCTTCTCTGAATATTCTCCAGCATATTCCAAGTATGCACTAGGGAACCAGCATGAGGACGGGTGCTTCACTGCCCCTGCCACATGGTAGCTGTCACAGGGAAGTGACCATTCCACAGTTGATGTCACTATTTTGGCTCAAGAGATACTTATTTTGCTTGGTGGCTTTTTTTTTTTTTAAAGAACATTTAAAAATGACTAAAATATAGTGATTAAAGAACGTTTAATGAGGAGAAGTGCTTATATTTCAGTTATCAGTGGTCTGTCAAAATAATCATCTACATATCCTATAGCTTTGGGTCAAGTTGTTTGCTCTCTCTGGATCTCAGTAGCCAAAAAATGGCGAGATCCGGCAGTTGGGGTCTAGAAGGTCCTTTCTATCTGCGTTTACATCCCACAGTCCCATGGGCAGACTGTATGCAAGGTGATGGCGGGTCTGTGGCCGAGTTCAAGGGGCTCGTAGGGCCTCTCTGTGAGTAACGAGGCTGGTAGATTTACAATCTCCTCTCTTCCTGTCTCCTCACCACCTCAGATCTGATCTCTGGAGGCCAAGTCCTCCTGTAACCTTAGGCTCTAGAGGGTGAGAGTTGCAGTCATATTCACGAACCCAGGGGCTTAGTAAGGGCTGCCACTGCCCCCTAATGCTGAACTATTTGATCTCGGTCCCCCATATGAAACCGAGACAGTGATACGAATCCAGACCGGAAAATGGAAGTCTGGCATCGGAGCAGTCCGCAGAACAAGGAAAAAACAGCTTTGCTTTGCTTGGCCCATTGCTTTCATATCTTGTAGTTGGTTTTCTATTTCTTGGAAACAATCAACATTTCATCGTTGTTTGCCTTCTGTGTCTTCTCTTTGGCTACTACAGTTTTCCTCTGTCTCATCACTCCCTTCCAGGTTTTTACCGTTACTTTTGTGAATTCTATTTCTTTAATGCTCCAAGACTGGTCTGAGATAGGAAAAACAAATATTTATATAGCGCTGTGTGCCAGTTTCTATGCAAAATTCTTCACATATACCCATTTATCTAATCCTCATACCAAGTAAAGGGGGTGGTACTACTCCCATCTTAGGGATGTGTCTACGGAGACATAGAGAAGTTAAGTCACTTGCCCAAGTTTGCACTGTGGCAGAGCTAGGATTCGAGCCCCTGCAGTGTGGCTCCAGAGCACATGCTCCTAATCACTACATGTTGTCTTTTCATCTTGATTTAAAGGCAAAAAAATAGGAAGGGCATGGCAGCCCACGCCTGTAATCCCAGCATTTTGGGAGGCTGAGGCGGGTGGATCACCTGAGGTCAGGAGTTCAAGACCAGCCTGGCCAACATGGTGAAACCCCTTCTCTACTAAAAATACAAACATTAGCCAGGCGTTATGGTACACACCTGTAATCCCAGCTACTTGGGAGGCTGGGGCAGGAGAATAGCTTGAACCTGGGAGGCAGAGGTTGCAGTAAGCCGAGATCCTGCCACTGGACTCCAGCCTGGGTAACAGAGTGAGACTGCGTTTCAAAAAATAAAATAAAATAAAAAAATAGAATAGGTGAAGAAAGAGAAGAACACACAGGGAAGCCGTCGCTGTCTGAAAGCGGAGGCTATGCTCTTTCTTTCTCCAGAAATACACAAGTATCATTTGCAACACAGGTATGCCTAGGTTGAAGAAACTGAGTAAACGTGTATTTCTCACAGTTAGTTGTTTCTTTAGAACATACAAGAGAGTGCCTAGTTGTTAGCTGGAAATTTAGAGGTATCGTTCTATTTTTGGCGTGAGTCCCTTCCCCTTTTCTTGTAACTTCAAGTGCAGCTTATTATGCTCTTATCTAGCTCAAAAGATTAGGGTAAAGCATTTTGTAAAGTGTAAAAAAACTGGTGAAATGATGAACAGTGGTTAAAACTGAACACCAGAGGGAACAAGGAATACCTTGTTGTGGTGTAAAATCTCTGTGCTTAGCTGTGCCAAAGAATTTTTTCAGGAAAACTTGCTCAAGATCTTGGCAGTGGTGTCTTGGGCTTTATCTTTTTAAATAAGTGTTCATTACTGCTTACATCACTGTTGCTAT